CGACAAGACTTAGAACCAAGTGGGTTAGCAGTTACTGGTGGGAAGTGCTGGAGCCCTTTCCACCCCCCCCCATCCTTCTCACTATTTACACAACACTTATATAGTATTAGGTGTTGCATGCCATCTACTGATTAGTCAAAGCAAGCAGGAGGATGTGTGGAGGCTACATGCAAACCCTACACCATTTTGTGTAAGATACTACAGACTCTGCGGGTTTCGGTATTCCAGTGGGTGAGGTGGTCACAGAGTAGCTATTCATGAATATGAGGGGACACTGCGCTACCAGAGGTCCACAGAGGCCGATGAGCTCACGCAGCAGGCTTGTCAGCACACCTTGAGCCTGTGCAGTCTGACTGCAGTGGGTGGCATCCACAGCCTTACCTTACTAAGAGGGAGCTGCTGGGGGTTTTGAATGGAGTTCTCAAGGAGGAAGGGACAGGGAAAGGGAATTCCCAGCTGCGTCTGTACTGTAGGGAGGTAGACATTGGCTTGGCTCCATGAGGCACCTTGGGGAGTGAATGAAACAAAGAGCTTTCTAGTGAGCAGAGTTAAAGAGGAAATCGTTATGGTGGAACTAAAGGTAAGTTGCCTTTGGAAAATAGATCACAGGGCTAAACGTTGATGGGATTTGTTGCTGTTGTTGTTTTTAAGACAGGGTGTCTCTGTATTGTTTTGGAGGCTGTCCTGGAACTCACTCTGTAGACCAGGCTGGCCTTGAACTCACAGAGATCAGCCTACCTCTGCCTCCCGAGTGCTGGGATTAAAGGCATGCACCACCAATGCCCGGCCATCGTTGATGGGATTTTAAAGGTCCATACATTTTGCTCTTTCAAAGACATTTTCATAGTAAAAGAAGGGGCAATGAAGTGGAATGCAAAACCATATACAGTGTATGTTTTAAAATGCAACAAACTTAAAAAAAATATGTCCTCCATGGTGGGCCTTTTAGTGAATTGAATGGTAGCCCCCCAAATGTATTTGCCTGCAACCCATGAGCTCAACTCTAATTAATAAGAGGGTCTTCGCAAATGGTGTGTGTGTATATCTTCAATCCAAGCATGTGTATTTAGGAAGACAGAAGAGGAGACGGTGGGCTGGGTTGGGGGCCAGGCATGTTAGAGCTAAGCAGACATTGGAATGGAGCAGACGCAAGTCACAGAATGGAAGAGCATGAGTTGCCAGAAGAGGCAAGGAAGGGCTGTTCTCTGTGGCCTTTGAGGGAGATTCTGGGCTTCAGAGTGTGGGAAGGACAAACTGTGCTTTATATTATCTTGTCTAATTTGTTAAGGTAGTGCCAGTACCACACGTTAACAACATAGCAGCAGCGCCAGGAAGGAAGTGTAGGTTTCTTAGGGCTAACTCCCAAGTTTTCCTAGGAAGAAATGCTCCAGTCTCCCGATTTGTGAAGACATGAAGATCTCTGATGAGACTGTGGTGGGCATTGGGGAGGGGTTTTTTTTTTGTTTTGTTTTGTTTTGTTTTTTAGCAAGGAGAGATGACAGGAGAGAGGCATTTTAGCAAGGCTAATAAGATGCCACCGACACCCCGTATGAATATGAGAAAACAGGCATGACTACCTGGAAGGCAGCAATAACGGGAAGAGAGAGACTTGTGACACATAGTTCTGCCTCAGCCCTTTCACTGTTTTGGGCTTTGAAGACGTGAAACGGGCATTAGCGTTGATAGATGTCCAGATTCAGTAACAATTCATGGTAAGTATTGCTGGGGCATAATGTAAATGTCAGGATCTCATGATGGAAATGGGAGGGAAGGCACAGTTAAATGTTTAAGAATTGTGAGCCACAAGAATCTCATTTGGACTGCATGGGATTGTGGGGTACCCCTCTGTTTTCTCTCTAGGGTGCTAGGCAGTTGGGAGATGGGCCAAGAAGAGGTCTAGATAGCATGTAGTTTCTCCTGGAAGTTGAAGTAAACTCTAGTGTATCTGGAGACTTTTCTGTTGTCTTGTCTGTCCCACAGCTGCTTATAAAATAACCACTCAGAGGATTAACATTAACTATAGTTGTTTGGCTGATGGCTCTGGTTTTTTACAGCAAACTTTTACATTTAAATTAACCCATTTCTATTAATCCAGGCATTGCCATGGGGCTGTGGCGTTGTATCGTTTTCTATGTATCTGTATTTGCTTCCTCAGTGGCTGCTGCTGTCTTCTCTTGACTCTGCCTTCTTTCTCCCTGTATCTCTGCTTGGATTTCTGGCCTAGCTATATTCTGCCCTGCCATAGGCCAAAAAAAGCTTTATTCATCAACCAATAAAAGCAACACATATTCGCAGCATATGGGAGGACATCCCACATCACTCTAGGCCAGTGGTTCTCAATCTATGGGTTGCCACTCCTTTGGGAAATTGAAAGACTCTTTCACAGGGGTCATCTAAGACCACCAAAAACACAGATACTTACATTACAATTCGTAACAGTAGCAAAATTACAGTTATGTTGCAGCAACAAAAATAATTTTACAGGTGTGGGGTTACCACAGCGTGAAGAACTATTTTAAAGGGTCACAGCATTAGGAAGTTTGAGAATCACTACTTTAGGCCATGGCAGAAGCTGTGGGATAAAGAGCTGGCTTAGGAAGGACATTAGGTGGCCTAGCAGGGTGGACTAGCCTTGAGATAATGCAGATAAACTGGAATTCTTTAAGAGTATAGTTATCTGAAATAGTGGCATATAAAAGATGACCTTTCATATTGCAGGGGTTGGGGGAATGGCTTAGTGATACAGTACTTGCCAGGTAAACATGAGGAGCAGAGTTTGTGTTCCCAGTATCCCCGTGAATGCCAGGTGGATATGCAGCCCTCAGGAACTAGAGACAGAGGATTCCCCCAGCAGTCTGGTTAGTTGCAGTAGCCAAATCAGAGAGCTACGGGTTCAAGTGAGAGCTACCAGGGAGAATACCAGACAAAAGCCATCTGGCCTCCATAAACACTAGGACACATGTGTGCTCATGCATACATGTATGCACACCACACATATACAGACAGAAAAAAAAATCCATCTCACAATGGAAAGAAGAGACCATACCCTCTTTGGGAATACTGCTGTCAGATGCTTGGAAGACAACTCCTCACAGACAGAGAGAGACAGGCTGGCCAGAAAAGTAAGAATGAGAATGAAACACCTTATCACAAGATGCTGGACTTCAGACCACAGCCCAAGTGTGATCTGTCTGAAGGAAAACTAGATGGTCTAGGGTTTGAGAAGGAGCTATTGAATTTAGATGCAAGATGCCATTGGGGACTTGTCTTGGTTCGTATTCTATTGCTGTGAAGAGACACCATATGTATGCACACACACACACACATATATAATTCATATACACACATATGCATTTAATTGGGGGGCTTGCTTACAGTTTCAGAGACTAAGTCATTACGGGAGGGAGCATGGCAGCAAGCAGGCAGACATGGTGCTGGAGAAGCAGCGGAGAAGTACATCTTAGTCCACACGCAGCCGAGAGACACATCTCCAACAACAAGGACACACCGCCTAACCCAAATAGTTCATCAATTGGAGAGTAAGCAGGCAAATATATGAGCCTGTGGGAGCCATTCTTCTTCAAACCTCCCTAGGGACTTAGCAAAGAATCGGTGAGAGAAGCAGTCTGAGGCTGCTATTCAAAGCAAAAGCTAACAAAATTGGGTCCCTGTTGTCCTACCTTATTTAGAGTGAACGATTAGCGTTCTGCTTTCCTTATTGTAAAGCTAGTTATTAGCAGGATGAGGTCTACACAAAAGAGTGAATGGAGATAGCATCTCCGACTGGAAGAGGATGTCGGATATGCTGATTTTGTACCTAATGCTCTTTTGTCGGGCTGTGTGCCAGATACTTTAAATAGGAGGCAGGCATACATCTCATGTGATGAAGCTGAGAAAGGTTGTGAAACACACGTGTAAGGTGACACAGTTCAGGGAGCCTACAATCGCGCTATGATTACAATGCCAAGCTTCCCCAGGTTACCCATGCCTGGAAACTTCCTTTAGGGAGGGAGGCAGCTGACTGGTCAACCAGGGTGAATTGTTTCTGCCTTAGTAAGGAGGAGCAAAGGGCCAGGGTAGAATCTCATTAACATAAATGTGAGCTACCCAACCAGAAACTGAATTCATTTGAATATTAGGGCTTCCTTTGGGGAACCATGAGAGAAGGAGCTTGGGGAAGAAACATCTGGATTCCGGTGTGTAAGGAGTATGCGTTCCTTCCCCTTGTTCTAGCTTTCCAAATTTGCTTACAGGTTAGCCACTACTCAAGGCTGGGTGAGTGAGGGCGCCTTTTAAAGCCTTCCCAGCCTCCTCCTGCACTAAATGAGAAATCCCAGGCTCCTTAGAGCTGGCCTGGGCGCCGGGGAGGCAGCGGAGGTCGGGTTTCCTCTCCTCCCCCTAGGAAGTGGTCCCGCCTGGGAGGATGGAGTAAAAAAAGTGTCTAGTTGGGAAAGTAAATAGACGCAAGGCAAATAAATAAAGAAAAAATGCCCACAAGCAATTATTGGGAGGAAGTGACATTTTTATGTAAGTCACTTTTCTGACGGACACCAGGCCAGCTGGGCTGAGAGTGCCGTGGGAATGCTTCCGGGGAGGGGGGGCTGAGGGGGTGGTCGCCGTAAGAATCCAACGCACAGCGGGGGTGCGGAGACCACCCGATGGGACTCGCGGGCTGGAAGTCGCGCTGCATTCTTCCTCGTTCCCCTGCCCGCCTGCCCCCCAACTCCGATCGAGAGCGGGTGGCTGCGTGAAGCCCGTAGGCGGCGCTTTTCCCGGGCCCGGCCGGGACTCCCAGGTGGGTCCCCCGCCCGGCGCGCTCCGAGCTGGGCCGGCCCCTGGGCGGCGTCACGACAGCCGGGGAGGAGCGCGGGCGGGTGGGGAGCGCGCGGAGGCGGGCGCAGCGCGGGAGGGTCGCCGCCGCGGATCGCAGGCCGGGGCGCGCGGCCGAGCGGGCGGCGGCAGCGGCGGCGGCGGCGGCGGCGGCGGGGAGGGCTCGGCGGCGGCCAGGGCTCGGGGCTCCCGGGCCGGCGGGGTCCGCCGGGGCCGGCAGCGTCCGCCCGGCGGCGGGAGGAGTGAGCGGCGTAGACAAAGAGCGGCATCTGGGCGGGCGCAGCGCGGCCGCCGCCCCGGGACCCGCGCCTCTGCCCTCCGGCCTCGGCGTGCGGTGTGCAGCGAGGTAAGGCGACCGGCGAGGGGGCTGCAAACTTGGGCGGGTCGGCAGAGTTGGGAGAGATGGGCCGGCGGGCAGGGACCGCCCGGGAAGGAGCAGGGAGCGCGTCCCCCTGCGCGCCCCGCTGGTGCCCTCGGCCCCGCCGCGGCCTGGGCGTCCCCGGGTACCCGCACCTCGGATACACACCTTTCTGCGAGCCCTTGCCTTCCCCAGCCTCGGGCTGGCGTGGGGGTGGGGCGCCCTCGGCGGGCTCACACCGGGGACCAGGACCGAGAGCTCTCGGGAGCACAAGCAGCCCTGGCCTTCGGGCGGGCGTGGGACCGAGCAGTGGCCGGGTCGCCAGGCGCGCGTGCCTGGGAAGAATAGCCTGGGATCCAAGGGCCCCGGCGCTAGGAAGCTAGAGGCTGCGATGGCCGGGGAGAACTTACTGTATTTGGAACTATTCGTGATCCGGCACAAAGCTGCTGTCACGTCTCATGTAAGAGGTCCGTGCCTCGGTGCAGGGCGCTTTTGTGCCGGCTTCCAGTCCCTGCGCCCTGCCCCCGGTTCCCAAGGCTTAAACCTCCTGAGCCAAAGTTTCTCTCAGCTGCCCTGCCCCTTCGGTTTATTCAGGGCGATTTAAGCAACTGGTTTTTGCAAGAATTTGATGTGGGACTTTGAATGCCCCGACGGCACCTCCCTTTTGAGCGCTGTTAGCTTGGCATTGTGTGGAGGGGTTTTATTTGCAAAACGCTGTAATTTATACACAGTAACGATTCTCCCGGAGGTGTGCGCGGGACGCTGGGTGGAGGTTAATGGATAGCAGACGTGACTTACAGTAATATTGTGAACAGCTTGGGGACACAGCTGGGCGCTAAGTGGAGTGGGCTCTGCAACCCTAGCCTGTTCAGGTCGGCAGTTTGTCCCTTATTTGGCTTTCCTTATTTTGCTAACAGGTTTAAGGTTAATCTTGCCAAGTTTGAGTCTGTGTCTGGGATGAACAGGTCCCAGTTTCGGCTGGAGGTGCACAGGCCTGCTCCTTGGTTGACCCCCAAATGAAACAGCCCAGTGGCCAGTGGTCATGGCTTGTAGACTCCTTTGCTGCTTCTCAACCTTTGCAGGCTTTTCTGCAGGGATTTTGAGGAGGAATGAAAGTAATTTTGCGTGTTTCAAGCCTGGGTTTTGGGTATAGTTTTCAACAGTGGTTTTCTAGTGTAAAGGTCACTACTTTATCAAAACGTCTAAACTGCTTGTGGGCACTCCCTCCATTACTTTCCAAGTGTTTATAGATACAGAGGTTTAGAAACAGTCTTTCGTTAATGTGCCCAGTTTATTATTGCGAAGGTAGACACAAGGAGAAAATGCACTTCAGGCAGTTAAGGTTTTAGACCTTTGGGTCGTTCCTAAGTGACCACGAGGGACAATCCTACCTTAAACTTTCTTGCATCCTTGTCGGTTAATGTAGTTTTGATTGAAGAAAGAAAGGTCCCAGTTGGTCTGAGGCTGAAATTGAGAACTTTGTGCAGTCGTAAAGCTTCGAGTTACAGCTCACTACCTGCCTTGCCCTCGGCCTCTTAGATGTGCAGTCTGTGGGTGGGGGGTTGCTGTAAGAGTTCTGACCGCTTGAAGGCTGATCCGCCCACCTGCGGAGAGACTGGCCCCTTTAAAATGGGCAGAGTAGGTACAAGGTGGTTTCCAGCTCCCCGTAGTCTGATTCCAGGCTTTCCGTTTTGCATTCCCTACATGCTCCTTGCTTCAGTCTTCTTCCTCTCTGTTCTAGTTGACCCTGTCATAGTCCTGACCTCTGTCATGTACTTTGGGGTGCTGAACATTCCCAACAAACAGCGGCTCCCAGGTGTTGGGGAAATGGGCTTTCATCCTTGTTAAGTCTCCGTTCGCCTTTCTTGCTGGAGCAGACTAGATGACCCCTTGAAAACACCCGAAGACTCACTGATTGCATAGCAACCCGGAGTTCTTTATTTGATCTCTTGAATTAGCTTAATGTGCCCTGGCAAGGCCAGGCTCCGTTGCTCTGTATGGCACACATGGTTCTCTTAACCGACTGGCTCGCAGTGTGCGCTGGGGGCTGACATGGCTTGTGGAAATGATTTTCTGATGTTCGGAATGAAGTTTAATGACAGAGGAATTCCAGATTGTTTGCCGCACGTGCGGAGCAGGATAGTGAGCGGCGTTTGGGGAAACTAGGGAGCTAACTTTTCTTACAAATGGACTGGGAACTCTTGACAGCTCCCCCAGAGACTTAGGGAATTAGTTTTTCCTATCCAGAGGGGCTTCAAGTGGTGCTTCGGAATTGTTTCTTTTTCCTGAAGTGAGTGATGGAAACATTTCTCAGGGTGTTCTCAAAGGACAGAAGTAGGAAAAAAATGATGCTATTTGTGCTGTTAAGTGCCCACATTAAGGCAGTTCAGAAGGTGGTCAAACACCGTTTTAAAACAGGCTATCAAAGGTATACAGCCGTGGCGAAAATAACTCATTTCTTTGGGCCATTGGAATAGTGTGACTTTTAAAAAGACTTTATTTTTTAGCAACTCACTAAGGTTATATCGACGAGAACCTTGTGGTAAAGTCTTATTAGGGAATTACACCCTCTGTATCCCCCCCAACTCACCCTGACACCCCCCTCCCCAGAGTATACTTCCATCCAAGATTCTCAGTCCTCCAGGCCATGGTAGTGAAAAACATTCTTTAGATTGACATAGCTGTGACATGTTAGGGTCACAGTGGTATTTCCCATCTCTGCCTTGTACCTGTATGAGCAGCCCTAGAGGGATCTGGTCCCTTTCACAGCTTCCATGAGTATGAGAATCTTAAGTTTCATCTTTTTATTTTTTATTTTTTGTTTTTACGAGACAGGGTTTCCCTGTATTGTTTTGGAGGCTATCAGTCCAGCCCGGCCTCGAACTCACAGAGATCTCCCCTGCCTCTGCCTCCCGAGTGCTGGGATTAAAGGCGTGCGCCACCACCGCCCGGCAAGTTTCATCTTTTTAGTGGCCCTATCTCTCCTATATCTCACTATCTTGCATCTCACCTAAGAGGCAACGAATGTGCCCTGGGACTTCCCAGAGAACTTTCTGGATAGTTTCCTTTTGGCATTTGTGGCCTTCTTCCCAGTTGTCTCCGTTGTTTCCTAACCTGCTGTGGGCTGGAGGGTGTAGGGCGCACCCCTTGATCCACTTAGTAACACATTGTTGGTTTCTGGCCTGTGCTATTGAGGTTGGTAATGAAATCAGAATCTTAGCCTCTGCTCAGAACCCTGCCGCACCATACATAGCCTGGTCCCTAGGACTTTCAGACAGTGGGGAAATGTTACCTGGTGGCCTCTGTTTGGTGAATTCTCTGATCAGGCAAGTCATTTGTAGTCCTGCAGTGAAACCTAAAGACAGAAACAAACAAACAAACAAAAACCCATGAGATTGCTTTATACCCCCTTTTGCATATCCTGAAGGTAATCTTACATAATCCTTTCTGTGTACCTGCATTGTGACTTCCTCTAGCCAATCAAACCCCACCCCAGAGCCATGGCATAGGCTGCCTGAATGGCTTTTGTTGTTTTGAGACAGGGTTCTCACTTTGTAGCCTATGCTGTTCTCAAACTTGATTCTTCTGCTGCAGCCCCCAGAATGCTGGGCTTGCAGGTGTGTGGCATCGTGCCTAGCTTGAATGCTTGATGCTTCAATAGATAAGGCTGCCTATGTCAGCCTGTTGAGACAGCTCTGGCCAGAGCATTGGTTATTTTGCTAGGAAGTAGTTCTTTGGTGAGATCCCTCCTTCCTGCTGTCTGTATTGGTAGGGTTTTTGAGAGAAGAAGGTTCAGATTTACCCAGTTTGATTTCACATTGAACACCTGTAACCTGAAGTGCTAAAGTGCAAATTTCAGGATGTCATTTTTCTTTACTGCTGAATAGTATTCCACAGATCTATGTACCACATCTATTCATCTGTTGAAGGACATTTACGTTGTTTCTATTTCCTGGTCATTGTGAATGGGGGGGGGGCAATAAACATGGCTGAGCAGGTATCTGTGGAGTAGCATGGCGAGAGTGCTTTGGACATGCGCCAATAGGGATCGAGGGTTCCTCTTTCTCTACAACCTCACCAGCTTTTGTTGTTAGTTTTGTTCATCTTGGCCATTCTGATTGGAGTGAGATGAGGTCTCAAAGTTTTTTGTTTTTGTTTTTCGAGACAGCGTTTCTCTGTGTCACTTTGGATCCTGTCCTGGAACTTGCTCTTTAGACCAGGCTGGCCTCAAACTCACCTGTCTGTGCCTCCCGAGTGCCGGGACTAAAGGCGTGCGCCACCAACGCCCAGCTGAAGTCTCAAAGTTTTAATTTGTAGTTCCCTGATAGCTAAGGATGATTGGCATTTTTTGAGAAAGCACTACCAAACCGAAGGCTTTCTGAGCAACCTCCATGATGCCACAAATGGAAAATTCCACCTTGACCTTGTGATAGATTGTCTAAATTCAGGTGGACTAGAAATACTGCCTAAGATTGTACTCAGTGCATATATAAAGTGTATATGAAACACATGGATTTCTTGTTTTGACTTGGATGTTATTTCCTCCAAAGTCTGATAGTAAATCACTAATTCATCAGCAGGATAAACACATAAATTTTAGCCCAGGAGTTCTGGTTGAGGGTGGCGTATAATGAACATACCTCAAAGACTGACACACATTTGTCCCCAAACAGGTGGATGAGGCACATTTAACCTGTATTGCAAGTTCTTTTAACACCGTTTTAGGAAATAGATGTGTTTGGCTAACAGTTGTTAGGAAGACCTAAACTTCAATATAATGAGACAAGAACAAGATACCAATGTGATTTACAGTTTGCAGAGTGCTTTTTGTGTGTTTGGTATTTAGTGTTCTGCACAGAATGGCATAATCAGGTCTGACTCACATCTGCGAAAGACTGGGATCCAGGACACTGCCAGGGGTTGTAGATTGTGGATTTAGGCTGAAATCTTCTTACTCAATGCCCTGTCACCTCTCAGAAGGAGCAGATGAGGCCACAGTGTCAGTGAGTCCTGGAGTATTGTCATAGCCCTTGGTAGTCTTAGTTATAGTTTCTATTGCTGTGATGAAACACCATAACCAAAAACAAGTCAGGGAACATAAGGGTCTGTCTGTCTGTCTGTCTGTCTGTCTGTCTGTCTGTCTGGGTTACACTTCCACATCATAGCTCACCAATGAAGTCAGGACAGGAGCTGAAGCAGGACAGGAACCTGGAGGCAGGAGCTGATGCATAGGCCATGGAAGGGTGCTTACTGGCTTGCTCCCCATGGCTTGCTCAGCCTGCTTTCTTACAGAAGCTAGGACCACCAGCCCAGGGATGGCCTCACCCTCAGTGAGCTGGGCCCTCCCGCAGATCTATTCTGGGCCATGTTGCAGGTGTATGGAGACGTGGTTGGGGCAGTTCACACGTGGGGGCCCTTGGAAGAAGAACCATTTGTGTGGAGGCAGACATGAGATATGGCCACGACTTTGTGTCCTTTGCTTCACTTCTAGGAGCCAGAGCTGCCTCGAAAGTCTCCAGGGTATTCTTTCCTACTTAGTGTGTGTTTTGGTCTGCTTTATCTTTTGTAGTAGAATGGT